TTCAGGCAAAGACTGATACTGGCGGACCCGAAGGCTTTCTTGGTAATGAGTCTGCAAATGTATTTGCGATGTTAGGGGTGTTAATGCTGAAGTGACAGACAAGATGCCGTCAAGAATGTGACAAGGACAGGTAGAATGGTCATGGAGTGTTACTAATGTATGACGAGGAACGAGGGATGAGGGTTCAACGAGCAGAGCATTCAGAATTTCCCTGGTAGCTATGATCGTTCTACAAGACGGCCTTATTAAACGTTGGGTAAGGAGAGCGAGAGACAACAGGGACCCTGGCACAAGAGCGCTAGCTGTTTTCATGAATTACGCAGCCACAACGTCTCTGGACAAGAATCCAGAACAAGAATAATTAGTGGTTCAAGGACTCCGGGCATGGGTGTACATCCGGTCGTTGGAGCAAGTACCATGCCAAAGCAATGACCAGTAGGAGCGTAGTCGGTCGTTGGACAGGCGGCAGGGGTGTCCGTTCGAACGGTGAAGAGAGCTCCATGGCTTAATCTTGACCACAATGTGTGGGTAGGAGTACACACTATCTTCTAGCTCAGCCCAAGATTCTGTCAGCCTTCACCTTCACGACGTCCTCCACATGCGTGTTTTATGCATTATGCGCCAACAATCCCGTACGTGTATGTATGCGTGTGTGCTTTGCCATGTGCATGTTTACATGGGTTGCATGCACTTATGTTTCCTCCTTTGCCGCGTGGGTTATACAGCACACCCCCCTGGCCCAGTCACATGCAGGTATCAAAGCTCAGACTGGGGGACGGTGAGGGGGAGGGAGGCCACAGGCACGTAAGATACAAACAGACAACAGATGACAGTACAGTGGCATTGTTTTCCAGGGTGGCGGGGTCAGTGCCCCCCCCCCCCTCTCCCCAACCTACCAAGGTCACTAGATCATTCTGGGCGATGCAAATGGACTGAGCCCTGGCCAGACATCCTGAATGACTGAAGAGACTAGAAATCTAGACTTTGGAAGGCGAGGCGGTCATGTAATCACCAGGCATCTCAAGAGGCGACGCTGACGCGTGCGTAATGTTCCGCGAGTCGCGTGATGAGCTGCCACAGTTGCGTCTGAATGAATCTTGTAATACCACCGTCGAGGGGACCCGTCTACTCCGTGAACGCGAAGGGCAAGACGGGAGTCATTGCATACACAAACCCCCAACAAGCACCCCCACGAAGAAAGCACGTAGGATACCGAGCCGGGGACGTCCTACACATGAATACTGGCAGTGGAGCAACCCCCAAGGTCCGTGACAGGAAGACGGAAAGACGATTCCCACAATGGCTTGCTTGTCACATCGGCCATCAGCGAAGACGTTGCACGCAGGGGACAATGCCCTGTCATCCCGGCCTACAGCTCTGCATAGCGTGGCAGGACATGACCTGCTTTTAACAACGGCCATGTCACGCCCAGATGTGGCCGGGCGGCGGTCAGCTCTGGATCTGTGATGGAAGAAGGCTTCATCGGATACGCGCATGGCCAACCCTTTCGCCAACACAAGCCAACCATCTTTCCCCTCCAGATGAAGCTCCTGGGATGTTGCACTGACAGCGACTTGCTCCATTTCCTGCGCGTAGCCTTATTTAGGCGGTGAGATGGCGAGGCATCCGCAATAACCCGTTGCCCGGTACACATGATTGAGCATCGAAAAACTTCTAGAAGACTCTTGTACACAGCTCCGCAGGTACACGTCGTCGCATCTTGAGGAACGGATTGGGGGCAAGCTTGTGAAATCTATGCTCCCAGACGTATTAGTGTTGTGTTGTAAGGGCGAAAGGGGCTTCCATGCGTCTTGTGAATAGCACACAACACTGATAGTACATAGTCGCCCGTGGGGGCAGGTGGTTGCATTTCGTTCAGGAGCAGCCGACGTAGTAAGAATCCCGGTTCGCATCGTCTGGCTGAGCAAATCCAGTTCTAATTGAGGGGGCAGCACACGGCATGGCATCATGTACTTCTTTGTATTGGTCCCATATGGCCTACCAACGCCCAGGATGTGCACGAAGATGGCCAGCACTGACCTGACAAGACAGGAACGGCGCACAAACCCTGCGAGGGGCGAAGATGGATGTGCCGCTGTCAAAATGTCAGGGTAAGCGAGAGGAACTGCCCCCTTTCCAAGACACCTCACACTCAGCTTCCTTCTCTGTCCTCTTTCCTCTCCCTTTTGTCAAACCTGGCGAGGTGGCACAGTTTCGAGCGTCCGGGTCTACGGACTCCATGTTTGGGGCGCCACACGATACATGACAGCCCGTATGCGTGCATTTTTAGCCAGCAGGTCGTTTGTGCGCCACATTGTCGTCGGCCTGCCATATTTCCGGATTCGTCGCGGGTGGTCGTCCGTGACATTGGTTGCCACGCCATGGACTGCTGATGGCTTTCGGCGCTGTCGTTACCCCTAACCACCCTCGAACAATGGCGACGGCTGAACCCATATACCAGGTTCCTTGGCCGGCCTCTGTTAGATTGGATGCTGCGGACATGATAGGGGTCGGCTCGAAGTGGGCGTTACTGCACGAGACTACTTTCGATAATAGATCTGAGATGATCTGTCAGTTCCATAATGGTGCAGGGAAGATGAGCACATGGCGCTTACCTTTTTGAACTGAAAGTGTAGTTGAAGGATGCCCTGCGGGTGTGTCGAATCAGCATCGTCATGCTGCGAAACGGGGAGGGGGGTGATAAGGAAAAACAAAGATCAGCGGTAGAAGTGGAGAGACACGCGAGTGGGCGGTTGAGCCCAACTTGCTTCAAAGTATGCCTAGACGAGCTGGGGTATACGAGTGCCTTGCACAGCAAGGACAGACTGCTACGCAGATGACTTCGCGGAGGAGGAGTACAAACAACCACGGCCAACGAAGCAAAACGACAGCAGGTCTGGCTTACCTTGTCAAAGGAGCTCTTGAAGCCCCTATCCTTTTTCGCGCTATAGTCCCATTCACGATCGACTATACGGAATGCAATGTCCTCGTATGGCGGTCCGGCGATGAAACGAATGAGACATGTGTCTTCTTCGCCGGCCGGAGCAAACGACTCTCCCCTCTTGCGACCATGTTCTCGAATAATCTTGAATGTTGGTGCCTTTGTCTTGTCGATAAGCTCCGGATAAAAAATGTTGAACTTGTATCCTTGGACGACCTTGGGAGGTGGATTATCGTGGTCATAATGTGTTTGGTTATACTTGTTCCACTCGTATCCCATTTGAACGCGATTGAAATATCGTGGTTTTCGTGGCCGGTGCTTGTCTGCCCATTGGGGCTTCGCTGCTGAAGTAACAGCCTCCTCTGCCGCGAACACCTCTTCGTCCTCGCCAACGCCGCGAGCGACTTCGCGTTCATAAAGGGCCTTTGTGGCCTGAGAGAAGTCCTCATTCTCCACTTGTGCAAAGCGAGCCGTTCCGGGCGGGGCGCCGCTGGGAATTATTGATTTGACTGGAGCCTTTGTGTCGAACCTCGAGGACGATTCGGCTCCAGTGGAGGTGCGAGCGATAGAGGACGCGCCACCGAGGCCTGGAACAACATCCGATGAGGGATGTGCTTTGTCTGGGTGGCGCGCGTTCAGCACGGCAGCCCGGCTCTCCTTGACCGCCTCATACACTTTTTTCAGCTTCGCCTTTGCCTTCCAAACTAGAAGACTGCGTAGCAACTGTTCCCAGTAATCCGTGTCGATGTCTTCGTTGGATTGTAGCTTGGCCTTCACTTGTTTTTCGAGGGCTTCCAGCTGCTCGTATGTCTTGGGACTTAGGATCTTGTCGACGTCAGATGACACAGTGCTGACAACCCTGTCATCCGGACCTTGTGGTTTGAGTTTCTGTCGGCGCTCAGAGCAGATGGTCTGTAAAGACAGCCAGTATTCACGATTTCTCGCATTCGTCTCGAGGGTGTGGTAGGATTTGATATCGGCTTCGAGTTCCCGCAGCTGAGATGCGTCGAGGCCTTGCAATACGACATCGGGTGGTGTTAGGGCAACGTGTAGGTCTGCCTCGTCCTCGTCATACAAGTCGCGGTCATCATCAACAAAGCGAAGATTGTAGGCGAGGAGGTCGATCGGTTTGGCGCGTCCTTCACGAACACGAATGTCGGCCTTTTTCTTGGTCTGTTTTAGGACAAATTTGTCCTCTTCGGCGACAAACTTCCGAGCCTGCTCATCCTGAGTCATATACGCAGAGGAAGACGTCTTATTCTGTCGCGACCTGGCTGAGGAAGCCGGGTTCGTCGGCTTGGAGATGCGCGTGTTGTGGTCATTCCGAGGCGAGGCAATATCTCTTCGAGGAGGAGACCTGCGCCCAGATTGTAACATAGCCTTGCGTGCCGGATTCATGGTGTATAGTTTTGGAGCTTTGCTAGGTTGAAAGCTGCAGCACAAGCCATCGAAGAGGCAGTTGATCACACGCTGATGCGAGCGTCACGTCTGGCGGCTTGCTAGGCAGCCCAAGTCTTGAAAGATTCGGCTTATCACCACGTGATACGGTGAGCTTGGAGCCTTCCCCACCCCCCCTAGCTGCGGAAGGAGGAGCTGCTGTGGGGACTCTTCAGGCCCCTGTCGACTGTCGCTACAAGCTCGCATTTCACAGGGGTAATCCGATTGTCCCTAGTGCGTCTCCTGCCCACTTGTCCGATCTAGGAAACGTCATGACGCACAAGACATCGAGAGTCCGATCTCGAATCGCGCCAGCTGGGTCGCCCAGCAGCGCGGCGGGCCTCGCGCATCCGTGCTTCAATACTTTTCTCACCTGGTGTGTGTGCAATACATCCCTCTCTAGATTTCAATCTGAGGTCAAAAGACTATGAGAACGACGAAGCCCTGCGCTGCCTTCCGGACCCGACTCTTCACACCTGCTTCTTGTCTACCACTACGATCAACCGTACCAACACTATTGAACAGCAGCCCACTGCGCCCACCGGCATCAGCGCGTCTGTGGCGTGAACATCATCACCAGATCAAACGCTGTACAGCTGGTCCAGCTATTTACTTCGTGGCCATGCCTCCCAAACGCGGCGCGAAGCGCCAACTGTCCGCCTCAGCCGTTACCTCTGATGTGCAGCCGGCGTCAAAGAAAGCGAAAGATCCCTTGCGCGAGCCGCATCCCTTTTATAAAGACGCAGAAGAACATGGCATCGTCCTTCGGAAGTACTACCCTCACGAGATGAGCAATGATCGGGCCCGCGCCTACAACAACAACGAACTTCCCAGGCCCATCGAAGAACTCACCTCTGCGCTGGCCGATACATCCATGACTCGTAAGGGCGTCAAGGTGGGGGCTGCCGTCGTGCACTGGTTCAAGATGGATCTGAGGCTATCAGACAACACGTCGCTCCGCCTGGCGAGCGAGAGGGCCAAGGACGCTGGTGTGCCTCTGATTGCTATGTACATTATCAGTCCTCAGGATTTCGAGGCCCATCTGACGGCTCCTATTCGTGTTGACTTTACGCTACGAACATTGGAAATCCTGAAACACGACCTCGCTAAACTGGACATTCCGCTTCACATTGAGACTGTTGAGAAGAGGAGACAAATTTCTGATCGCATTGTCGAACTTATGGGAGAATGGGGAGCGACACACCTCTTCGCCAACATGGAGTACGAAGTCGACGAGCTACGGAGGGAAGCCAAGTTGGTGCGCACATTCGCTGACAAAGGCATGTCGTTCGAAGCCGTGCATGATACCTGTGTTGTGCCCCCGGGCCAATTGCAGACTGGCACCGGAAAGCAGTACGCCGTATATACGCCATGGTACCGATCTTGGATGCGCCACGTCCACGAAAACCCGGATCGGTTGGAACTGTTTGACCATCCGAACAAGAACCCCAGCAGTGCAAAGGAAAGGTTTGGCAACCTATTCGCGTCGGAAATCCCGGAGGAGGTGCCGAACAAGACCCTCGGTGCTGAGGAGAAGAAGCGCTTCCGAGCACTTTTCCCAGCCGGAGAGCACGCAGCTCGCGAACGGCTGGACAAGTTTTGTGACGGCAGCATCAGCTCTTACGCAGATCGGCGCAATATCCCAGGCGACAACGGTACCTCTTCACTCTCGATGCATCTTGCCAGCGGGACCATCAGCTCCCGGACTTGCGTCAGGACAGCAAGGGACCGCAACAAGACAAAGAAACTCGATGGTGGAAACGGCGGCATTCAAACATGGATCAGCGAGGTAGCCTGGCGGGACTTTTATAAGCATGTTCTGGTTCACTGGCCCTATGTCTGGTAAGAGAGATGATGTTCCCTCCCTGACAAAGCATGCCTGTTAACTAACCTGCAAGCAGCATGAACAAGCCTTTCAAACCCGAATACGCCAATATTGAATGGTCTTATGAAAAGGATGATTTCAAGGCTTGGTGTGAGGGAAAGACAGGTTTCCCGATTGTCGACGCTGCCATGCGTCAGATGATCCATGTGGGCTGGATGCATAACCGCTGTCGCATGATTGTCGCATCCTTTCTCTGTAAGGATCTTCTAATCGACTGGCGCATGGGTGAGCGGTTCTTTATGGAGCACCTGGTGGATGGTGATTTCGCATCCAACAACGGCGGCTGGGGCTTTAGCGCCAGTGTCGGTGTCGACCCGCAGCCGTACTTTCGCATCTTTAACCCTTTGCTACAGAGCGAAAAGTTCGATCCCGATGGCGAGTACATTCGCAAATGGGTCCCAGAGCTAGCAGGTGTCAAGGGCAAGGCGATACACGATCCATATGGACGCGGCGCAGGGCCGCAAGCGAAGAAAAAGGGCTATCCTGAGCCTATAGTTGCGCACAAAGATGTTCGCGAACGAGCTTTGACAGAGTACAAACGGGGTCTGGGCCGGGAGGATCTGTAGTTATTGGAGACAACAGGGTCGATCGTGGGCTTCTTCGTAAGGGTCGTTTGTATTGTATTATCATTGATATCCATTTTGGTGCCAATGTCTACTAACCCTCGATTGTGATTGATTCTTGGTTGACAGCGCCAAGCTCGTAATCGTCGCCAGTACAGCGTCACCTTACGCTACCTAGAAAGTCATGGCATATTCATCTTAAATATGCTAATAATACAGAGCAATTGTCAGGAGGCACCTGCGGAGCCACGGGACAGGGGCCTAGTTGAGGGGTTTGGGATTATGAGAGGACGTACATAAGGACTGCGGAGGGCCAAAATTCAGATGTATTGTTAACCCCTCTCTAAAAATTGACTGCGAATATCACTTGCGGAAGGCCTCTTCACTCTGCTCATCGACACGCTCTGATAGCACCCGTCTCACTTTTTTGGTGACCCGTTGGCGGCCCCGAATCCTCTAGTCTTCTTCCTCACCTTGAGAGTTCTAGCCTGCTCAAGTTTCTCGCCACGTCTATGTCGTCCATCTGGTTAACGAAATTGCCATGGGGAGCATGGAGAGACTAAGGACTGCCGTACCTGTTTCGCCTGTGGGCAGCCATGAGCTCTGAGATGTTCTTTTTCTCGCAATCAACGCCAGCATCGCCAAGGGACCGTCTGAGATCTTCAAGTATGGTCTGCATCACTGGCTGTTCATGACCTTCGTCCGGGGTCAATGCAATGGAGTCTGGCGAGGAGGGAGGATCCTCTGAGGGTATATCAAGAGGAGCAATGGACGGCATCTCTCTGTAGAAGAGCTTGCCTTCTTCGCCACTGAGGACTGGTGGTTGAAGCATTCGTGGTGCCAAGGGGTCAGCGAGACCCGCCTGCAAGGCTGCTGGAGTGTAGTCAGTTTGCTCAGGGACGGTTGGCCCGGAGCTTGAACGTCCCGTAAGCCCGAGCGATCGCCTTTCATGCCGATGAGGTGTGTCCAAGTACGTTTGAAGTAGGTACGAGGGCGGACAAGACGAATGTCCGTCGAGGGAATGGTTAAGTTGGCTGCTTACGTCGTCGCTTACGACCACAGACTCTGGTGACGGAGCACTAGACCTCTTGAACTCGGACATCGCACAATCGAGGGGTCGTTGACTGTTGAAGACTTATGTTAGCCTAGTTGAGCCAAGGTCGAGAGCTTGAATATCAAACTTGCCTCGGGCCGTTGCTTTCTTTAGCTGCTGAAGCGGAATGATAGTTGCAAGTCCATGAGCCCGGGTTCGAGCATGCCCTTCCTGCTTCTGAGTATGAGGCTGATGAGGTGGCTATCATGTTACTCTTGACAATAATAGGCGAGGGGATCGGCTCAAGCACCTTAGGTTCGTTGGGCTTTGTGGCGGACATCGTAGGAATAGGTTGCGCCTTGACTGTCACCAACAGGGAACTGCTAGAGAGACCACGAGAGAACAAGACAATGGAAGGGGTTTTGTGTCCATGGGATCCCATGCATACCCCCTGATCAAGACTCTCCAGTGTCGACGCATGCTGCCCATCTACCCACCCACAACGGCGGGCTGGTAAGGCATCCTCCCCACACACGCGACCCAAAGGGGCGGAATGAGCCTTCCAGGTCAACGGAGCAGGGGCGGGATAAGCTCGTTTCTTTTGCCAAAAGCCTCCTTTTGACGAGAAGCCCGAAGACAACGAATGCAGGTTATATGACGCGACGCAGATGAGGCAGGGTTCCCGAGGGAGTGGAACCAATGACCTGAGGGGCCAAGCGGTTCAGCCCGCAGCTTCGGGGCCCGGGGAGGAGCAGCCCGGTCTCCCAGGCTGTATTCTGCATCTTAGCGCGGGCGCCTTCCGCGGCGTGCCACCAGGCTGGGATGATGTGGATGCCAGCGACCCAACAGTGTGGGTAATGGCTTTTGGTCGGCTGAGTGGAGAGGGTGGTAAGGAGGGGTTTGCTGTTCGCCCGAGTGAGTGGAGAGAGAGAAGGGGCGAAAAGGAGTGACACGACTTGAACTTCTGGCATAGGTGCAGAACGCAGCGTTCCCGGTGTGGGCCACTCAAGCGAGGCCGTGATTCCTCGGGAGCCCCTGTAGTTGCTTTTGTCCTCCTTCTCCGACAATGCAGAGGCTACTAGCAACGGCTTTCGAGGTCTGTCTCGAGAAGCCTACGGAAGGCTCGAAATGTGACAGAGTTGTGGAGGTTGTGACGCGAAAATCTGACAGACCCCAGCCATCCATGTATACCGCCAGACTACTGCAAGCTGCCGCATCTTTCTCTGGCCTGATTGATGGCTGCCAGCATAGATCACTAGCATGCCAAGATGCACGACGCTCAACGTTCCGACAATTGTCGGGTGCGTTGATATAATCCCCGGGTCAGGACCAGTGACCTCACAATCACACCACCTAGACGTTCTCCTCGTGCCGGAACACTTTTTGAGCTGGCTTGTCGAGGACCACTGATCCGGCCCAGAGCTGGCGGCATGGGCCTGGCATGCCAGCGCATGAGTACCTAGCCTTGCGCGTGAAGCCCTCCTTGCAGCAGCACAGCCCGTGCCTTGTCATTGTGAATGAGTTGCCGAAGTAAAAGTGACGTATCGAGGCACAAGAAAGCATTAGGCCGTGAATTGTCGGACGCAGCGTGTGTCAAGAATACCTTAGACAATAGTGAGCGGGCAGGAAGCTGAAATGAAACGCTGCCCGACTCCAAGAACAGAGTGTCTGTGTGTGTATTTGGATGGGGGAGGGGGGGTCCCCTTCGGTGAGATCAAGGTTGAGCTTCGGTATTCTCGGTGTAGCCATCGCTGTCGGTAGCTTAGCGTCCGCATGACAAAGCCTTTTCTTTGCCTTCCCCTCTTGATTACGCCTTCCCTCCCTTTGTCTCCCTTGACGAGTGGCCCCGTACTCCCAATCAGGCGTTTCTTCAGCAGTATCCCCCCAATACTGATTTCCAAGCAACACTTCACTTGTCGCAACACCAGTTCAGCGAGGATGAACGTTTCGCTCTCGTGCCTCAATTGATCTGAAACTCGCAATCCGGTTCTCAGTGCGGCCTGCTGCACATCGCCAAGATGCTCAAAAAATTTGCGACGAACATCTCTCAGGCGTCTCATACCATGACTTCGAGAGCACGCAGCTCGCAAGGCTGCTGGACGTGCCGTCTGCGTCGCAAAAAATGTGACGAGACACGCCCTATCTGTCAAGGCTGCAGTTCTCTTGAGATCACATGCCACTTTGAAGATGCTAAGCCCGAATGGATGGATGGCGGACCTCGACAAAAGGAGGCTGCCGACCAGCTCAAACGTGAGGTCAAGATCCAGGCCAACCAGAGGCGAGAACGCAAATACCTACAGAGTTTCGAGCTCGCGAAATCGGCTCCCGATGATGAAGAGGCCTCGGACAGCGAGCACGTCTCTATCCCATCTTCGATCAACGGCTCATCGCAGCATGGCACAAATACCAGCCCAGCGACGTCACATGACACGCCGCCCGATCTTTCAGCTTTCCAGCTTGATGCCGTAAAGTCGTCCATTGCAGAAATCACCCCTGAGCCGGAGGCCATGGACCAGAGTGAACCGTCCTTTCAAGACTCGTGGAAAACCCCGATGCCCAGGACAGCGTCCACTGTTATGAGAGAGGAAGAAGGCGACCTCAACTTCATCATGATCTATCTGGACCACGTCTTCCCCTTTTTGTTCCCATTTTACCGCCCATCCCTGCCTGAAGGCGGTCGTGGCTGGGTCCTTTCTCTTCTCAAGTCCAACAAGGCCGTATATCACACTGCTCTCAGCCTTGGCTCCTACTACTTTTCCCTAGTCCTCGACAACAGCGGAAGCGGTCACGGTGCGTGCCAGCTGTCCAACCGGCGGCTACTCCAAGCTCAGCAAGAACTCTCGCTCCGGGAGCTGCAAACTGAAATGGCTGCCATAAATGCAAGAGGTGTGTCGGAGTACCCTCGCGAGAGCGTCCGCGTTCTCAACAGCATCATCCAGCTCCTTGTTTTCGACATAGCCGTCTACAACTCTACGAACTGGCTGATGCACGTCGATGCCGCTATCTCGCTCTTCAAGCAGATCATCCCCCTGCCACACCAGTGGGACGAGCGCATCTTACAGATGGGGTTCGCTGGAATGCCTTCGCCGCCTGAAGGAGGCTTGTTCATGCCCTGGACAACTGAGCAGGCAGCCTTGAGAACCTTCGGTGCATATCTATTCCTGACCGATGTGCTCACGGCGACAAGTACTGAGAGGCGCCCACTCTTGCAGGATTATCACAGCTCGGCCCTCGACTTGGGTTATGCGCGCGACGAACACAAATGGAACCGAACGCAGATTCAGTTTGAACAGCTATTCGGTTGTCAAACCTGGGTTATCCACCTCGTCGGCGAGATTGCCTCTCTTGATACCTGGAAGAAAGAAAACAAACGGGCCGGTTCTCTCTCCGTGACACAGCTGGTGAATCGGGCCGTCACCATTGAACACGCTCTTCGCTCTGGTATTGCATGCCTCGACGGGCAGTGCACTCGAGTAGCAAGTCCCGGCGTGGGCGAGTTCGGCGATTTGCCTCATCCGAAACACCACAAGCCGAGCTGCCGCGTTTATACTGATTTCTCGTGGAGCCAAAAGGTTGACACTCTGCCATTGCACACCATGGTTCCCATCCATACCAAGGTTTGGGCATATGCCGCTCTCACCTATCTTTCTGTTGTCGTGTCCGGATGGCAGCCGTCCTGCCCTGAGACAGCAAGCAGCATCGCTTCTGCCATTGAGCTCATGACGCAGCTTCAGTCCCCGGTGTGTGTTCGCACTGTCATGTGGCCTTTCTGCGTCGTTGGCTGTCTCACCGAGCCTTGTCACCAGCAGCTGCTGCGGGACATGGTCACTAGCATGGGCCCACTCGGAGCTCTTGGGTCACTGCGTACCGCCTTGGCTGTTATGGAAGACGTCTGGGCGCGCCGGGACTCGCTGGGTCAAGACTGGGACATTGCTGCCTGTCTCCAGAGCCTTGGGCATCCCGTCTTGATGATCTGAGCGCATGGCGACCGATGCTCTGTGAATCAAGACATCTTTTTAGGTTGTTTTTTGAAAACTAGCTGACGGTGTATTCTCTTTTTTTTTATCGTTTTCCAGCAATCACGTCTTGTGCGAGGGAACCAAAGCAACCTGCCGACCCGTTTTGAAATCCAGTCTATCGCTCTCACCATTATTATTCGCAACAAAGACCCCTGATTACAGTCTGAGAAACAAGAAAGGAAACGAAACCAGACCACAAACATATAAATCAGTCTTTTTTGCTCGGAGCCGTAGCAAGACCCTTATTCGCCAACATGGTCTGTCTCTTCTGCGCCTCCAGCAACCCAAGATCCCACCAGCCATCGATTAGCTCCTTGATCGTCCGCGTCCGCCGCTGAGACTTGGATCTCTTCCACAGCCCGCCGCCTACCGGCTGATCAGTAGGCTCTGGCGGCATTGGGATCGAAGGTGAAGCTAGGGGCCCGGGCGAGTTCGGCATCGGCGGCATCGTCGCCACAGGAACCGCCCGGCTGTCTTCACCAAAACCATGCATGCCGTCATCCACAACCATGACCGATTTCATTCTTAATTTCGCCGTGGCTTCCGGGACCGGCGCTACCTGCGGTTGCAACGACGGATGGGCATACCGGGGCACTCGCGTCTGGGCAGCGAAGACCATCGGAGCGGTGGCCCCTGCACGCTCATCGTCAGATGAGTCGCTAGTATCCCATGTCTTCTCCCGTGATGCCAGCATCGCAGACGTGCCGAGGCTCTTTTGCCGCAGTCCCACATGTTTGAGTATGGGACGCGGAGGCGACGGCGGTTGAGGGTACCTACTGTCGTCGATTGGATCGTCAAACGAAAGAGCCCGTGTCGCCGCCTCTGCCGCCCCGCCACGGCCGCACCTTCAGGCGCTCTCGATGTCCTTGCCGACAGGACCCTGGTTGAGCTTGGTGCGGCGCCAGAGGCAGATGGTAGTGACGGATGAGAAGGCAAACAGGACGCATAGAGCAATGGAGAGGCCCCAGACGGCCTTGATGGCGTAGCACGTCTTCTGCGCAGCGCCGACCCACACGAAGTAATTGACCTTGCCGCTGTCGTCGGTGGCATTGAGGATGTTCTCGCCGACCGAGGCGATGAAGGAGGCAGTGCTGCCCTTGACCGTGGGCAGGTCTTTGCAGGCGAGATACGAAAGGGGCTTGCCGAGGGTCACGGCCACAACGATGACGGCGATAAGCAGCGCGCTGTCAGCCGCGGTGGCGATGAGAAGAGGCAGCATGGAGTCCCAGTAGAGAATGTACGAAATGGCGATGTAAAGAGTTGCAACGCAGGCCTGGTGATCTCGTTAGCTCTGGGAGGGACAATTTGACACTGCCTAGGAACAACTGACAACCACGAGAGTACCGATCAGCACCGCCGGGGGCTTTGCATTCGCCGAGACCATCTCGCTGATAAAGTCTGCGGTCATGCCGATGATGGCAATGAGCGAAACGAACTGCATGGCGCGCATGGCGGTGAAGGTGTGCCCAAGGGCACCGAGACGAGGCATGCCGGCCATGGTGCTGGTAAGCTCTTCGTCGTCTTCTTCCAAGAGGAGAAGCTCCTTCTCGAGAGCTTCGGGGCTGGTAATGAGCGTGAGCTTCGGACGGGGTCTCTCGTAGTGCAGAGCCGTCCGCGATGGGAAGCGAGAAGGCGGATAAGGGATCCGGGGGGCTGCGTTGGGGCCGTGAATCTTGAAGGATGGGAGGTTCTCTCAACGCAGAGGTGAGAGAAGCCGTAGTCGGTGGGTGAAATGAATCTGGCTCGTCAAGAGAGATTCGATATACCAAATTGAAAAAAATGCAAGTCTCTCCTGAATAATGAAGAGTCGGCGTACGAAAACTGATGGAAGATACGTGGAGCGACGAGAAGTGAACCGAGGGAATAAGCCAAATGAAAGACCTAAGGAAAGAGAAAGGAAAGAGAGATAGGAAAAGAGAAATTGAAAAGTAACCGTAGATTGCCTGTATGCAGAAGTTGATGTCTACCGAACGAGAAGGAGAAATGTTAGACGTTGGTGGGCTAATGGCTTATATAAAAAAGATGTATTCTATGACATGGTCAGACCAGGCCACACTGCCTAACGCTGCCTGGTCCGCGTGGGAGTAGGTTCACCAACGGTCAAGGGTGGAAAGCCTCATACCAGCCTATCTGTAATCATGCAGCCAAATACAGCAACAAACATCACTCCCTTCTCTGATTCACCATCGGCCCTCTTGGCCGTACCAGCCCGCATCCACACAGCTCAACGCTCGAGATTGCCATACCCCAGCAACAGCCTACCAGTTCAGTCCCACTGGCATCATTTGAATCGACCACAAGCCCACCACGAACTGCTCTGCGCGAACTGCGGCAGACTAGCCCATTGCGCGAGCCGCCCATCCATGGTTCCCCGGGACCAATCAACGCACAAAACCGGCATGTCCCCCCGTGGTGGATTCTTCCGACCTTTTGAAACGCGGCGCTTAGCAGGACAAGCGAGCCGGCCCCACTCTCCGCTCATGATTATATCCCCGGTAGGTACTCAGCATATTCACGGGCTAGTTCACGTGTCTGGCGGGCCTTGAGGACCTCGAGAAGGACCGCGTCTGCAAGCCGCCGTCAGTTGTATCATCGGCGGTCGTAGCCGAGATGAGTGTCCCGACATGGATGGTGATTGGATGAACCTGGCGCGCTGTCCTCACGGCACCCGTCATGCCTAGTCGTGACGATACAGGGATAGGTACGGGATCATCGACAGATACTGGTCTCGGGATTCAGCCGTTCAACGCGCAGCCGCAGGCAGCTTTGCGATCGTGGTGCCTGCTCACCCTTGCTTTCGAAGATTGAGACGTCTTCGCGGCCGGGTGAGTTGTAATTGGCCAAACTTTCTTTGCATACGCTTCGGAGGATTTGCTACCTAAGCAGGATCTAGACCAACGTACTGCTGATGCTGGCCTCGATACGGGCCACTCCTCCATCACTTTGCACACACCAGACTTTTCTGTTCGCGCCGAAACACTTGTCTACTTTAGGCTGATCACTGTAGATTACTCCCTCTCCTGCTGCTCCTACGTGAAACTATCTCTCAACGACGGAAGTCAGCCGAGTGTACCGCGGACTCGTGTTCTCTGCCATCATTGTACAGAGTCTGATCAACGCTCCTCAGCCCAGTAGGTCGTCCAGTCCGTTGCTGCTACTGGTAGGCTTGGCCGCCGTCGTAGATCCGCCGGCTTGTGCACCCCAGATCCCGGCACTACTCTTCTCCTTGGCCAGTTGTCCCATGGCCGGTCCCTGTCCGGTGGAGGTGTTCGTTTTCTTGATGCCAGAGCTAGCTTGTGACCACAGAGCTCCAAATGCATCCCCCCCAGCCGCAGCGGGCTTGGCAGCTGCTGACTGAGCCGGTTTGGTCGCGCCCATGCTTGAACCCATAGACACAGCGCTGCCAGTCTGCTGGGGAGCGGCTGACTGGACCGACCCAAAGTAGTTGGGCCCGGCGGGTTGGTACCCGCCCATCTTGGGCGCCTGCGTTGCTGGCGAGGCCATCGCGGGAGTAGCGAACGACGAATAGTTGGGCCCGGATGCCGTCGATGGCGCCGGAGATGCCAAGTTGACAATGTTGCTGAGATCAGCTTGCTGCTGTGGCTGCAGGGGCTTCGGCGCAGCAAACGTGGCAGTGGATGACGCGGCTGCCGTGACAGGAGCAGCAGAGGGAATGCCAGTCTGTGGAGCAGATACAAAGTCGTCAAACTCGTCATCGTCGTCATTGCTGGCAGCAGCTGGGGCGGACAGGGTGGAAAGCCCGCCAAAGGCAGAGCTCTGAGCCGACGCAGGCGCAGGCGGCGCAGACGAGGACGAGGCCGGCTCGTCAAAGGAGAAGAGATCGACTTCAGGCTCCTTCTTTTTTCTTTGGGGGGCTCTGCTTTCGGCGCAGCAGCAGTTGGCAACGCTCCGGTTCTCTTTGCGCGAGGAGCTGGTCGATCGCCTTCGTCGTACTCATCGTATGCCTCGAATCTGTCTCCGCCGCGGCTGCTCGAGCCGCCAGCACCCGAACCGCCCTCCCTCCACTCGTCCGACTGGCCGCCGAAACCACCGCCGTCTCCGTAGACACCGCCGGAATATCCGCCAAAGTTCGCAGCGGATGTGCCGCCCGACTCGCTGCCGAAACCGCCATATCGACCGCCGCCGCTGCTGCCAGAGAAGCCGCCGCCAGCTCCACCCTCGACGCCCGTGTATTTGTTCTTGGTCGCTCGCGCTTTCTTGCGCTCGGATCTGATGCGTTCTACGTCACTCAGAAGCTCGGTAAGTTCCTTGGCGCGGTTGCGGACGTTGATACCCTGGTCCTTGCCGTTCTGGTCGATGAAGTGAAATTGGCGCAACATCTTCAATAGCGTAATATGGCCGCGGGCGTCGTCAATGACTCGTTCAGAACCGTGCTTGATGAGAAACTCCAAGAGCTGAAGAGCTTTGTAGATCTGGCGCCACTCCTCAGCGGCCTTTTCGGTGAAGCGACGATAGATCATGGGCATAATTTCGTTCAGCGTCGAGCTAGGGGCAGGTGTATTAGCTTGAGTCGCCAATGTGGAAATGTTCTGTGTCCCGAGCACAACTCAGCCGTACTAGTTAAAAGTGCCATTGGCAATCTCTTGCATTGTGGTGGATGATGCGCCCCATGGTTCGTTGTTGGTTGCCTCGCGGACCTGGAGAATGTTGCGTTAGGTTCGGGATCATTGGATGAATATGCAGGATGATACAAGCGCCCTTCCAGGCAAGTGGCAACGAACCTTGGCTTCCATTTCGGTGTAATTCATAACAGCTGGTGAGGAGCGCAGTCAGCGACGGCCGCAGGGGGTGGTTTTACTGTCGAGCTTACCATTTTGAACCTTCCTGACACCGGCCTTGACGTCGTAGAGGCTCATACCCGCGACGGTGTCCTTGAGGTTGTTCCAATCCATGGTGGGCAGTTGATATTGCGCTCACTTCGACGATGGCAGTGGTTGATGAAGAAGGGAGGGATGGAAGAGCGGCGCTCCAGCCTATTTGCACTCGTCGTTTACAGTGGTGGATGGTGTTTCAGTGGAGGCCTACTTGTTCAGTCGGAGATAGGTAGGCTCAAGGTCAGCGTCAGTGTGGCAGGTGGCCATGACGGGCAAGGTACCGCCTGTGCCTGTGGTGGCTAACCTTGCACCTTGTCAGCGTCGGGCAGCCGCGCTTATGGGGCCTTTGAGCCGCTTGCTGGGTGATTGACTAACCAGAGCGGATACTATTTATGTCACGTGATCAACGTATAAGACGGTGTTGGGCCAGGGGAGGAATATGGAGGACAGGCCGCAGCGGCGTGATTGAGATGTTCTCTTGATTGTTAGAGTGACCGTAAGACAAGATGATGCGTGCCGTAGAGACTTTCAAGACCGAGTACTGATGAGCGCTGCGGGTGTTCTTATGGCCTCTCAACCAGACCTAGGTAAGCACCTAGCCTACCTGGTAGTATAAGATGCCTGAGGACCTGGGTGGTCCGAGTGTCAGGGGCCAAAGTTGGTGACAGCTCCAGCCTCAAGATCTCAAGACTTTTCCTCCTTCCTTTGAGGAGCACCATCAATCGTCCATCAGATCTGGTCATCACACGTCAGTCCTCTGTGTAACACTATTCGTATCATCCTTCTCTTCTCATCAACTGTATTACCCCATTTTAGCAAGGTACGTTTGGCAAGCTTCTTTTGTCCCTTCTGAGCTGCACCCCATGTATCCCGTCCCTCGTCACCCACCCATTGGCCTCGGGGGAACAGAAACCTGTCACTCGGCTCGCTCCGGGTAGGGTCCTCTCACCCGAGCGTGAGATGAGGGATCTTGAACACCTGGCGCGTGGCCTGCTTCGCCGAAGCTCTGTTCTCGAGATACAGACGTCACGCACTGCTGTACAGTCCTGGCTCGGTACCTTGTTGCATGTCTGCAATTGACCCGAGCCTCGCCCCTTTCGAGCAAACCGGTTTATCCTCGAGCTCCCACACTCAATTGTCCGGCAACGTGACGGGTGGGGGGAGCTTGACTGGCGAGGGACCATTGCTGCAGGAAGCTTTCGGGTCTCTTCTCAGGTCGCTTTCGCCGTCGGCCCCCTCTCTGTTTCCCCCGGATTTGAGCCAATCGGACTATCGGCAGCCTTCTTTGCTCTCAATCATGTTTGTACGTAGGTACATGCGCGCCAGAATGGCGGTTGTTGAGCTGGCTTTGCTGGCCACAGGCCAAGGGATCGGTGGCCTATGTCGGTCGACCAACCGAGAACGAGGGCACTGTTGAGCTCAGAACGTGAGAGCTCCAGGCCCCGGCCCCACTGGAAGCTCACTGGAGCTGGCGTAACCAACCTCACCGCCGAGGTTGGCGAAGTTATCGGCATCGGTGGATGCAACGGGCATCAGACCAAAAAGCCACGCCAAGGAAGCTCGCGCTCTGCCCTTCTCTGCGCTGCGCTGCAGAGCGCAGCACGTCGATTGACTTCGAGCTCTGGGGGTCGTCTTGTTCACAGCGTCGATCCCGTTGGCTTCTTGGTGGCCAGGGTGGTCAGTCACGTCACTGCAGCAACTCGCTGGCGCAACGCAATCGTGGGGCTAAGCTGGAACCAGGAACCCCCTCAGTTCCATGATTCCGTCACTGAGCTGACTTCACGTGACTGGCCATCGGGCCACCAGAAACCCCCTACCGCCCCTCGCCTCGCACCTGTCTCTGCCAACTATTCGTTGCTTGGCCCCTTGTGGTGGGGAGCTCATGCGCTAACTGTGAACCCCCCTCCTGCAGCAGCTACCTCTCCGACTCCTCAGGCGAAAAAATGAGACCTGCCGCCGTGCTTCGACCCCTCCTACCCCGCCAACATAACCTCTTCTCCTGCTCTTCCGCACCCTCTCCCTTTTCTCGACCTTCCACCTCCAGCTTTATCAAGCCAATTCGCTCAACCCTTCAATCCAACAAGCTTCCCGTCAGATACTTTTCTGCATCCACCATCATGCCTGGTCCTCAGGTGTAAGTCATTGCTTGCTTTGTATTTTGTCTCGTCGGCGCGCCCGCCTTGCAAGAGATGATTGCATCATTGCCAATGGGACCATCGAAGCTAACCTGCGTCACCTACTAGTTACTTCGACATCGAGTGGGAGGGTCCCAAGGTCGACAGCAACGGCCGTGCCTCTGGTGCTGCTGAGCGTAAGCTTCCTCTTTTCCTTCATGGGCTCTGAGGTCCTGTTTATTACAAGCGACATCTCCGTAGCTGCGGGATTGCTCCTCCTTTCCTGCATCACTATGACGCTCCCTCCCCCTCCCCCGAGGTCGGAAGCCCCAAGGGTGCCGATGCTGACTAGTCTACCTCTTGCAGAGCAGAGCGGCCGCATCACCTTCAACCTCTTCTACGACGTTGTCCCTAAGACTGCCGAGAACTTCCGTGCCCTCTGCACTGGTGAGAAGGGTTTCGGCTACCAGGGCTCCTCCTTCCACCGCATCATCCCCGAGTTCATGCTCCAGGGTGGTGACTTTACTCGTGGCAACGGCACTGGCGGCAAGTCCATCTACGGCGAGAAGTTCGCCGACGAGAACTTCCAGCTGAAGCACGACAAGCCCGGTCTGCTGTCCATGGCCAACGCCGGTCCCAACACGTAAGTACCCCACAAGAGACTCCCTCTCGCTTTGTGCACACGTTGATCTGACATGATTTCCAGCAACGGCTCCCAGTTCTTCGTCACCACCGTTGTGACCTCGTGGCTCAACGGCCGTCACGTCGTCTTCGGCGAGGTTGCTGACGCTTCCTCCCTGAACATCGTCAAGGCTCTTGAGGCTACTGGCTCCCAGAGTGGTACCGTCAAGTACCCTAAGCGCGCCACCATCGTCAAGTCCGGCCAGCTGTAAAGGGTGTCCCTCGACGAAACATTGTACTCGAATCTTCCCTTTTCTCTCTCAGTGTGAGTGGCAGGAAAGTAGGTAGGCGGGCAGTATGCTGAAGTAGTTGCGGAATGTGCGGTGCTTCGGCAGATGACGTCGATAAGCCAGCTAGGTAGCTAGGTCAAGACGTAAAAGTTATAGCACCATCACCCATCACCAATCTTTCTCCCGCTGTGTAATTCTCGTCGATTCAACGCGAGAGTAAAAAACGTGTTGTAGTGATATTTTGAATTGGTTCAATCCATCTTCCTATTGACCCGGCCCTAATTGCTTATCAAGTCCATGATACTTCTCAAGGTTCCCACTCGCATCCCAAGCATTCATTGATCTGTATTTGATCATTCAATTTTGCCGCCCAACGCCGTTGCCATGCTGTTAGGAAAAAAAAAGAGACATGGAGCCGAAATCCCCAGTTGCGATAAGCAGCATCATTCCAGTCCCAACCACCGCTGGTAGTACACGCAATTACTAGCACTGACCGGCCCTCCCTCTTCGCAAAGGTCAAACACTGGACACCTTCCACAAGGCGCCTCGGTATAGCCGTTGGCATACGGCTCGGGGGCACCGCGCTCGATGCCACTCTCGTCGGCGCCCTGGCCGGCCCAGTTCCCCAGGCTCTGCTTAGCGGCGCGGCGTACGCGGAGACCGTGCTTACCGCCGACGCGAATGGCCTCGACAAGGCCGTCGAATACAAGGACATCTACGAGCTTCTGGATGTCGTCTACGCCAAGAGTCGTCTCCGTCGTGATGCCCGCCTGGGAGATGAAGCGCGCAATGTCCCGGACCGTGGGGTACTCCTTGTAGCCCGCCGGCAGGGGCAGATACGTTGTCTTGTCCACCTGTGTCGCTCCAACAGCGTGAGCCTCGCCATCGTCGCTGATCTGCTCGGCGCCCCTCTTGCGGCCCCCGGCTGGCGGCCCGCCCTTGACGATGCCTTTTTTCGGCACTGCCGCGCGCGCCTCGCCCCCCTTGTGGAAATAGCTGCTCTGTCGCTTGATGTAGTCGTAGATGACGCGCTGCAGCTCCTCAATGAAGGCCTCGTCGAGCGTCTGGTCTGTGAACCACGGTCCGCCCGTGGCGCGCTCCGAGGGCTGCATCGAAGCCTTGATGTACATCTTCTTATTAGGGTGCTCGACATTCTTGAACGGCACAATGAGACCCTTGATGTGGAGCTGCTTGATAGCAGCCTTCATGACGGTGTCGTTCATGCTCAGGCGGTTAATGATCGTCTTGCTCCAGATTCCGTCGCCACCAGCATCGTCAATCATACCGTACACCATGCGCTGCTCGTCCGTCGTACATAGCTTGTACCTGTGAGAGTGCAGCAAGTCAGCCTTCATCCGCCCGCCGTCAATCAATCAATCGTCCCTATTCTCTCCCATTCCATTCGAGCGTCGCGAGGGAGAAACTCACTTGGCAGCCTCGGCCTTTGGCCGCCATCGCCACGCGAGGCCGCTCTGCGTCGCCACAGCATTGAGCAGCTTTTCATTGGATAGGCTCTGGAGCGCCTTGAGGAGCAGCGACGCATCGCGGTTGGGAATGACGTCGAGTTCGAGGAGATCGTCCTGCGTGTAGAGTTGGTCCTCGCCGCCGTTGTTCTGGCACGCCTCGTAGATGGCCTGCTTGATGACCTCGAGCTTGGTGGGGTCGGTCGCCGAGCTTGCCGGTGTCGCCGTCGAAGGCGTAGTTGCTTCGGGAGCCATTATTTGCCTTCGCTTTCTTTTGTTTGTTGCGGTCGTAAAAGAAACGGGAAGTGAGGAGGAGGAGGAGGAGTGTGTTGGCGGGGTTGAGTCAGAGGCGAGGGAAGAAGCTTCGGCACTTGAGACGAAGTAGTGCGCGCCCCCGGGCAAAGTCTAGTCGCAGTGAACAGCTGCTACATCTGCGAATGCACTGATTAGACTTTGGTCACCGTGAGCCGCGCATTGGACTGTCGAGAGGAAGAATTGGCTTTGAAAATGGGTCGGCGACGAGGCGAGGGTTTCGCTCTTTGAGGGAAGCTTCGAAAAATAATCGCTGCCCCGCCCACAAAGGTCTAGCCTTGCATCTTGCGCCGGCTAATCCCTGGCCCGTGGTCAGCGCTGGTCATCGTCAGTCGGAACAGGCATATTCTCCGATTGCTTTATCGCGACGACGACGACGATTGTTTGCTCGATCTTATTATCTTCGCACATCCAGTACCAAGTTTCTCTATCGTACAATGATCAAGGGATCTACGAAGCCGCACGTTAACTAAGTGGCACCAGCCCAGGCTTCTATCATTATAGCCATAAACCATGAAATCAATAGTCATCCAGAATTGCAGTTGTCTGCTTTGCAGAAGAACTCTATTGAGATAAACCAAACATGCATCGGACGCTTGCCCTACGCGAAGCCTCCGACCAGTGCCATGAGTGCCGCACCGCCCACCACGGCCGCGTAAGCCCTCCATCTCTTCTTTCCCGTGAGGGTGTGGTAGCTCTTCTCTGTGAGGAAGTCCTCTGACAGCAGCTGTACGAGACCGGCGAACAGCAGTAGGCCAGCCGATATGGAGTTCATGAAGCCAACCATCAGGAGGCCGGTCTGACTCATAGGATCATACATCTTGTGTATCACCAAGCCAATCAGTTGTCCAAAGGGTGTCGTGGCGCCGAATGCAAGCACCATCAGCCAAGGTCTCGCCGATTGACGTGGAAGCTGAATGGCGGCAATACGGCTGCCGAGAGCAAGTCCCTCGAAAGTCTGATGGAAACTAATGGCAATGAGGAAAACGATGAACGTTGAACCTGTTGCCACTGAGATTGCCATGCCGATGAATACGCTGTGGAATAAAATGCCACCCTCCAGCATCACACATTGGCGGAGTAGCCGGGCTTGTTCATCGGGGGTCACGACGTGTGGCGTATTAGGCGCAGTGGGTGTTTGCGGCTTGCGTCTGGAGCGCAGTCCATTCATCGGCACGGCATCAAGCTCGTGCATATCCAGGTCAATATCCGAGTCTTCTTCGTCTTCTTCTGGCCTGTCGAGCTTGAAGCTGGGCCCCGATGCTGGCGGCTGCACAGGGCCGCCGGTTTGCAGAGGAGATGCGCCGGCCATGAGCCCGTCTGTGGCCTCCGTGTCGTGAAACGCCATGTCTGAAGGGCGATGACTTCCCTCTCGCCTGGCAGCAAGGCCATCCGTATTTCCGTTCGCTGGGAAACCATCCTTGTGTACAATAGGCGTCGTGTCGTCATCTTCGTCCCAAAACTGGCCATAGTGGTGTGAATGAGAGTGGCCGGCCCCACGGGTTGCGAGGTAGGATTCGAGAGCGACGACGGTCAGGGCAGCGACCATGGCAACGAAGCCGGCCATGGGTGGGAAGCCCTCGTTGAAAAAGGATGGAAGACATGGGTCGGTCAACGAGAGGAATGCCGTTGGCAATAGATGAACAAAGGCGGTGGCCAGCAGGACGCCCGTGCCAAAGTGCTGGCAGTAGAAAAGGATACGCTTCTGAAGTCGGCCCCAAGAAGTTTACGTCGGGGTTAAAAGGGGAATTCCCACATGCTGTGTGCGGTTGCGGATATCAAGCAGCGTTCTCGTGACGGAGAGTGAAGTACAAGAGGGACGAGTTTAGCTTACCAGATGGTGCTAAGAGAAGGATCAGGACGAGGGCGCCAATGTGTAGGGCGAGATCATAAGAAACACGCTTGCCGGAACCGCATTGGGGGTTCGTCTTGTCGCCATCGTCTTTGCGTCTGGTCAGTTCGGCCAGGAGAAGGTCGGTTGGGATCGTGGCCCACGAGACATCTGTAGCCGAGGGCAGGAGCAATTGTCAGCAACGGCAGGACGACGCAGTCATGACGACGCAGCCAGGACGAGATCACATGGAATGCAATGCAAGCGCACCTCTGGTCTGTGGATCCATGATTGGAAATTCGTTTCAGCCTTTCGGGCTGGTGAAGTTATGCTGGTCGTCACCGGATGAATGAAGACAAGTTCGATGTCATGGCGGCTGCGCGAAGCGGAAGCAAAGATGCCATCAAGGTTTCGTGTCACTTGGCAAGTTTTGGGGCCAGATGGGCAGGAGCCTGCAAACTGGAACACGAACATGCTCCTTGAAAAGGGACACACCCGGATCCAGCGTCAGGCACGGCACGCATGGGATAAGACCTTGAGACATGGGAAGGGGGAACCGAATTGTTCGCTTGGCGCTGCCATCGATCGCTGGCCTGCAGCAGGAGCTGCCGGTGGACGCGGAGAAGGACCCACCCAGGCGACCCAGGCGACCCAAAAATGGACGAAACCTACGCACAGGGATGGGTCCTTCTTTTGGTGGACAAGCCTCGCTATATGAATACTCGTGTCGACCTCCGGGTTTCGGCGACAAAGTCACTGTCAGCCGCAAGAAGAAGCGTCACTGGCTCCTTGGCCGTCAAGTTGAACCGAGAACCAATGCAGCATTTGCGCAAGTGAGATTATTGTATTGCGTGTGTGTGTTGCGTCCGTGTCTTTCTACTAGGCAGATCTGTAACGAATATTGCATTGCTTCCCCCTGGACTTGCTCAAGGTTGCCTTCCCAATCTGCTTCCCACGTCATTATTATCATTACGCAAGCCTCTTGTTGACAATACACCTCGATTACGGCCGATAAAGACAACCACTAGCCGGCGACACCTCACACGGGTGCCCTTTTGTCGATGAAATCTGTTCTCATAGGCTCTATTTGCTCCAATCAATGGAGGCAACGTCGTCGTAGCAGCCCACTTCATTGACGAACTCGTGGCTCGCAATGGCGCCCGCAGGCAAATCCGCAAGCTTTGCACATTGAGGTACGAGTCTGATAGCGACACAGTCCTCGGGGATGTTCGACTCGGACTCGCCTTCTTCGTTGACCTCCGTCTCGGCATGCTTCAAGAGGAGAAACTTGCGTCCCTGGTAGTACGGCACACTTTCATTGCAGACGATGTAGCTGCCGATGATGGGAGCCGTCAGATAGGCGTACGGCTCAGAACCGCTGGTGAGCTGCACACCCTTTGTGCCGTCTCCGGCATCAACGCGCACGGCTGAAACAGAGTCTTCGGCTTCCGCGATATCGATGCCGTTGGGGAAAGGCGGGGTGCCGCCGTCGGTCACAACGGTGCCCTTACTCTCGCTAATCTCTTGTTGAGTGCCGTTGACATACCACACGCGGGTGGACTCGCTCGAGATGGCGGCAAGTGCCTGGCCCGCACCGACGTGGATTGAGGAGAGCGTGTAGTGATTGATGGACTCGCAAAAGTCGGCCGCCGGATTCGTCACATTAACAACGAGGGTAAAGCCTGACGAGGTCGATTTCTGGGGGTAGCTTGTTTGACGGACAGCCAGTGGTGATGCCGACGTCAAGCTGGCGAGGCCCATGAGGAAGGCGATGTTACGCATATTGGTGAGGGTTTGACGTGCCTAAGCAATGGAGTGATATTATACAAACGCAGCGAAGGCTCTCTAAAGTTGATATCAAGGATGTCGTGATGGTGTTTGCTCTCGTGGGTTTCGTAGTGACTCGGATCAATTGTGGAATGTGGGCGGCGGAATGTTAAATACAACACATCGAACCCCAGCGCCAGAAGGAACCTTGGGGTCTAGATGTACGCTCTTGTCGTTCCACCATTCAAGCGGCACGACGTCAGAATCAGGAGCCGATAGCGCAGTGGCTTCCCGCCGGCCTTCCCGTTCGATGTCGCAGTGTCGAACGATGGCAGGTGAACTACGTTCACCCCTTGCCAAAGGAAGTATGGGGGGCTGGTACGAAGTTGCAGCCGATCTCTTCCATGCAGATCTTTGGCTTATCACAGCTTGCAGTAGCACTACTAGGTCGTGCACTTGTCGGATTGCGGCGAGGCTGGGCACGCTCGCCTGAAGAGCGCTGGACACCTACTGGACATGACGTTGCAAGGGCAAACTGGGGCCGGTAAACTCTGAGAGCAAGCGCCAGCGCCGTTGCCAGGCCATCTGGAGGGCGCGAGAGGTCCGGTGCCCAGTGGACAAAGGCCAGCAGTGACGGCTTGCCAGATCTGGGGGAGGCGACTGCGTCATGCCGAGCCAAGAAGCCGGCAAGCGCGAACCGAACGCCCCGTAGCCGGCCCGTCTTGTTACCCAACATCCGCGCAGCTCATAATCTGGCGTGTCTCGGGTGACTGCCTTTTCCAGGGTGTTCAGGTGAAAACTCGGCTCGCAAAGGTAGAATTCACTCATGGCTCATGGTACGTTTTATAACAGAGTTAGACCAGCACGGACTCCTACATCCTAGGTTTGTGGGTAGTGAGAAGGTTGAGGGGATGTCCTCCATACCATATACGGATAGCTGGCCAAAGGGCGGGGTTGATTAGGTCGCCTGTGCTGAAGGCAAAAAGCGTTTGACGTGTTGTGGAAGCATACGTTGTTTTTAACACTCATTGGGATTTCTCAATTCCTGTCAAGAGAGGCCGAAAAGCAAACCATCCAGCAGCTGCTAAGTCGATGGACATCTGCCGTGATACAATCTCACTGAGACGAAAAAGCCTTGCCAATGATGCAGGCATCCGAGACCAAGATCGTGCTAAGCCTCATACCTCATTCAGGACGTTCCGAAAGTGTATTTGTGAGCAAGAATATCCAGCAACATTACCAGTCCTCAGCAACGACGTGAGACCGACGATGCACTGCCTACCTCAGGTAGGTAGCAAGGTTGTCGAGAGAGATCACCCATCCTGTCGATTTGTCATGCAGCCATGAAAGGCGCCCTGAGAACCACCTGCCCAACTGCGACCGCAGCTTGCCTGCAAAATTCCCGACACTTTGCCCAATGGATCGGAATAGGCGGGGATTTACCAATGAAATCCCGGCAAGTGATTTGTCAGATACCCACCCTATCGATGGCGCAATCCAAGCATCATGACTTCTCGACCATCCCCGTTTGAGGACTGGACGAATATGTTGAAATGCATTGTGTCCCTATACACATGAAGAGAATATAGTATCTAAAGCAACGCCAACTTGTGGACTCATCTTACCGGTCCCTTCACCAAACGAAAACCTTCCCTCCATACTGTTTGTCCGCCAAGCAGCTCGAAACATTACTGAACCAGCTCCAGGCCGTTTCTCCAAGCCCCACCACAGCTTCGCCCTCCAAGTGAGAGTGTAGAGTCGACGCAAGTTGCCACACAGAGGGGCCTCGTCTCACAGTCACCCAGATCCTTATTTTCATTTCTAACAACCTCATCACCGCTACCCTCACAATGCCTTTTACACTCCCCCCCTTCATCGCTCGCCTCGCGCCGGCCCTTGACCACTTCCACAACCCTCCATCTCGCCTCCCCCTCCAACTCTGAGTTCCCCGCCGGCTCGGCAACCGCCACCATCGCCGCGGGCTGTTTCTGGGGCGTTGAGCACATCTACCGCAAGCACTTTGGCGCCTCAGGGCTCCTCGACGCTCGGGTAGGGTATATCGGCGGCGACGCTGAGCACCCCACGTACCGCGCCGTCTGCACTGGCCGCACTGGGCACACCGAGGCTCTGCAGGTCGTGTACGACCCGTCCAAGGTGTCATACGCTCAGCTTCTCGAGTTTTTCTACCGCATGCACGACCCTACGACTGCCAACCGCCAGGGCCCCGACACGGGCACCCAGTACCGCAGCGGCATCTACTTTCACGGCGAGGAGCAGGAGCGCATCGCCAAGGAGATTACCCGCAAGGCCAACGAGCAGTGGTACGAGGGCAAGATTGTCACTGAAATTCTGCCCGCCGGCCAGTGGTGGAACGCCGAGGACTACCACCAGAAGTATCTGCACAAGAACCCCTCTGGTTATGAATGCCCTAGTCACTTCTTGAGGACATTCAAGCCCCTCGAGTGATCTACCTGGAGGAATTTTAGCCGTTGACAAATGGCAGTGGAGGATGAGGAGGATGTGGAACGTATGGGAAGGCTGGTTCATTGGAACACCGCAGAGATAACGAAGCGTTGACTTTTCCACACTTTAGATCAAAGCCAGGGTAGATTGATATGTAAAACGAATCTCTCTGCAAGCTGCATTGCCACCCGTGATTGTTGCATATTAAACGCTTTGCAATGTTGAATCTTACAGTCATTGTTCTACATGATTAACTCCTAAATAAAAATTCAAGGCCGTATCCTTGGCCAGAGAGGGGATTGTCTCTCTTTGTACACTGTATCCCTGCGCTGCTGGCGCGCTCTCCAAGGCATCAAGCGCCTTTTCGCCTGATTACTGAACGCTTCATGACTTGTTGCCCGAGAATGCCTCACTTACGGCGATTCTGCTGCATCATGAGAATCTGGACCATGCGGATGAAGATGTTGAGGAAGTCAAGCTCGAGTGAGATGCTCTCGTTGACGGGGTCCTTCTTGATGGCACCAGCCTCGGCAAGACGGGCGTGGTACAGAACTTTCTGAACATCGTACAGAGTGAAGCCGCCGAAGACAGCCAGGCCACCGTACAGCCAGAGGTTCTCGGTGAAAGCCAAGGTCCTCACGGCGGTGGCGGGAATGACGAGAGGGGCGAGTCCGGAAGCTGCGACGATGGCAGCACCAGCCAGGAGAGGTCCGCCAATGTAGAGGTATTTCTCCTGCTTGGCGGTGGCGCCGACGATGGAGATGCTGCCCATCATGGCAACAGTGTAGAGACCGGCGCGGGCGATGAGCGCACCAGGGACGAAAGCCAGGAGGGGCGCGACGAAGGCAGCCTGAGTGGCGTTGAATGCGGTCCAGAGGGCGTACTTGGGAATGTAGCTAGACATTGTCAGTCAAGTTCCATGAGGTCAGTTTTGAGGATTGCTTACTTGTCAAGCGAGATAGACCGAGTTCCGATCATGGTCGCGAACCTAAGGGCGGAACAGCGATTCCCACCACCCCAGGGTT